CATGCAGGTATATATATGGATCACAGTACAAGCAAAGTCACACAGTGAGCAAGTGAGGCAAGGTAGGCACAAGGCCTAACACAGTAGAGAAGCGCTGATGATCACCAGGCGGAAGTGCCTTGGTGAATATATTGTCAAACATATATGATAAAGCCTGTGTAGGCTGTAGTGGGGTAGACACTATGGGGTACAGCTCCTCTAGGTTTTCATACTTGTACCCATCTCGTTTCTAGTCCATACATAATTTCTCGTACATTTCTCACATGGTGTAGAGTGGGTTCCCTAGTGGGACCGTTTTTTTTTTAAGGGCCCACCACTTAATATTTTTTTCTGCCCTGCCCGAATCGCGCTCCTTGACCTGTCGCGCGCCTCGTGCGCCTGCCCTGAGGTCGCGGCCCTCACTAGAGCTGTCGCGGCCCCTGCCGTTGCGGCCCCTGCTGTTGCGGCCCCAACTGTCGCGGCCCCTGCAGTCGCGGCCCCTGCTATCGCGGCCCTGCCGTCGCGGCCCCTGCAGTCGCGGCCCTGCCGTCGCGGCCCCTGCAGTCGCGGCCCTGCCGTTGTGGCCCCTGCCGTCGCGGCCCCCTGCAGTCGCGGCCCTACCGTCCCGGCCCCTGCCGTCACGGCCCCTGCATTCGCGGCCCCTGCAGTTGCGGCCCTGCCGCCGCGGCCCCTGCCGTCGCTGTTAGAGACTAAGGACGGAGTCTATGAAGATTAGGGGCTGAAATATCTCAAAATCGTCAACTGCAATTCTGGACAGAAAAGTCGTCGTCACAAGAAACGTCGTCGACGAATAACACACAGTTAGAATTCTCTCAAACTCAATTATCTTGTTGACCGTGGCTATCCTTCCCAATTTGAATAGTATCAAAATATGGAGTATAACTCGAGTTATAAACTTCGGCGCACTAGGGGGTACGCTGCCATAGAAAACGTAACTGAATCACAATTTTCTCACAAGTTCACACAAGAAAGTTGGAGTAGCAATGGAACCAGGTAGGAGGGGATGAGGAGGACGAGAGGGAAGGTCCCAAGGGAGTCCCCAACCAAGGAAACCCCATACCACACAATTCCCCTCTCTATAGGCACCCCAACTTTGACATTTGTCACTTTCCCAACTCATGCCATCCACCTCACCCAACTTGGCCACACTTGCCAACCTGGTTTGGCTTCTCCCAGCCACTTGGCATCATCTACAGTGATGGTGACGAATTTCCCAACCCCCAAAAGTCTGTACCCCATATTGAGTCAACCCGCAAATTCCCATAGTCGCCGCATCTCAATCAAAACTTCGAACGATCATATCTTTCTCGTTCTTGCTCCGATCAAGGCGATTCTCGGTTTGTCGGGAAGCTCTTGAGCAGAGGAGTCACTTCAGATATCTGCTCAAGCCAAATAAAATTCACACACACTCAGAAAATCCAAACAACACCAAACACAAATTCTTGCACACGCTCACACCATGCATGCAACACACGAACATATGATGGGAGGCAGACAGACGTGAATGCAAATGATAACATCACATAACAGTCACGGCCCCTGCCGTCGCGGCCCCCGCTGTCGCGGCCCCTGCCATCGCGGCCCCCTGCAGTCGCGGCCCCCGGCCGTCGTGGCCCCTTGCCGCCGCGACCTCTGCCGTAGAGGCCCCTGCCGTCGCGCCCCTGCTGACGCGGCTCCGCCGCCCTCCAGTCGCGGCCCTGACTTCCGCCGTTGTGGCCCTGCCCTGCTGTCGCGGCCCTGCCGTCCTGCTGTAGCGGCCCTGCCTGGAGCCGTCGCGGCCCTTCCTCCCTGCTGTCGCAGCCCCACCTGCAGCTGCTGCGGCCCTTCCTACTGCCGCTGTTACGGCCCTGCCTACCGCCGTTGGCTGCCCTACCCTGGTAAGCGCACCGCCGCACCCGCGCCGCCCTTGCGAGCCGCGCCGCCCTGCCAAGTCGCGCTGCTCCTGCTGCTCCTGCTGCTCCTGCTGCTGCTAGACTACTGCTGCTGCTTTTGCTGTCATGGCTAGCCCTAATGTCCTTACCTTCGATGCTGAGGGTCGAGCGGTAGATTTTGAGGTCTGGGTTGATGATCTGGAGCTTTTTCTGCAGTGTGACTCTAAGGACGGAGTCTCACTGTTCGACCACACGTCTGGCGTCGCTGTTGCCCGTGCTGCCGATGCTGAAAGTACTGTTCGCTCGCAGTGGACCACACGCGATGCTGCTGCTCGTCTAGCTGTCCGTAGTCACCTGCCGTCTGCTGAGCGCGCGCACTTTAGCCAGTACAAGACCACTAGGACTCTGTACGACGCTGTTGTTGCGCGCTACTTCTCCCCTGCCATTGCTGCCCTTAGCCGCCTCATGCTGTCGTACCTGTTCCCTGACCTAGCTGCTTTTGCCACGGTTACTGACCTCATTACGCACCTCCGCACTAGTGACACCCGCTACCGCGCTGCGCTTCCTGCCGAGTTCTGCGCCGCGAACCCCCCCAATATGTACATCACTCTCTACTACCTCGTCACCCGGCTCCCTGACTCCCTTCGCTTGGTCAGGGACCACTTCCTCTCCCTTTGCCCCACCACACTCACCGTTGACCTCCTCGAGGAGCGCCTCCTTGCAGCAGAGACGAGTATAGTCGCTGTAGGAGCCTCTCGTGGTGACCCTCGTGCCCCTTTCTTTGAGGGGTGCTCCCCCGTCCCTCTCTTGCCCTCTGTTGCCTCTGTTGCTGCTGTCGACCTCGTTGGCACCGAGTCGGTTGGCACTGCGTCTGCTCCTAGTGGGAGGCGCCGCAGCGGCAGTGGGGGTGGAGGTGGCGGCGGCGGCGGCGGAGGCGCTAGGGGTGGCGGCGGCGGCGGTGCTAGTCGGGGTGGCGCTGTACAGCGGGGAGGCTTTGACAGTGGCCAGCGCCAGCAGCAGCAGCGCCCTCGTGAGACCCTGTCGCCCCAGCAGCTTCTTGAGTGGTACGCTGGGCGTGGGAGGTCTGGGGGTGCTGGTCCCTGCGCTTACGTTCTTCGCACCGGCGACCGCAGTGGAGAGACGTGCGGCGGCCCGCACGCCACGCTCCGCTGTTTCGGCCGCCTGACTGACGCATGGCGTACACTGTTTCCTGACGCCACTGAGATCCCTCGCTGGGGTGATCTGCTTAAGTCGGGGGTTGCTATCTTTGATCTTGATTATGATGCTATCCTTGCTGCTATGTATGGTGTGTCTATTAGTGCTGCGGGTGACTGTTACCTGTGTGTTCCGCCCGACCCGGGCATTGGGGCTACTGCTCTAGGTGCTAGTGAGTCTACTGCTCCAGGTGCTGGTGAGGCTGCTCTCTCAGGTACCGCGTCGGCTCAGGTCTTGCAAACTTTCACCCTTGACTCGGGTGCTTCCCGCTCCTTCTTTCGCGACTGCACCACACTCTCACCGCTCAGTCGGCCGGTGGCAGTCTCTCTGGCTGACCCCTCTGGGGGTCCGGTCCTTGCACACTCCTCCGCGGTTCTGCCGTGTCCGACGGTCCCGTCTGGCTCTTTGTCTGGCCTCCACCTCCCCTCGTTCTCCACGAACTTGGTGAGTGGAGGTGACCTTCACGATGCGTGGGTTGACCAGTTCACTCCTGGAGGTCAGCGGGTGACCCACTGTTCGTGTACTCGGACGGGCCGGCACCTGGCCACGTTCACTCGTACGCCTGGGTCGAGCCTGTACACCCTAACTACCGTGCCTCCTCCGGTTGCTGAGTCTGGTCAGGTAGCCGCGTCGGGTCAGGTGTTTGCTGCAGCGTCCCGGTCTGGTCCTGAGTCTGCCCCCTGCTCGTGTCGCCTCCTGTCTCACAAGACTCTCCTCTGGCACAACCGCCTTGGTCACCCCTCCCTGCCTCGTCTCCAAGGCATGGCCTCCCGTGTCCTTGTCACTGGTCTTCCCTGGTCTCTCCCTCCCCTCCCCTCGGGGCCTGCCCCTACCTGCGCTCCTTGCGTCGAGGGGCGGCAGCGCGCCGCTCCTCACTCCTCCGAGTTCCCTCCGACGGAGGCTCCCCTGCAGACTCTTCACATGGACGTGTGAGGCCCAGCCCGTGTCCGTGGACAGGGTCACGAGCGTTACTTTCTGCTGGTCGTTGACGACTACTCACGCTACACCACAGTCTTCCCCTTGCGCCGCAAGGGTGAGGTCACTGAGGTGCTGATCGACTGGATCTGCGCTGCCCGTCGTCAGCTCAGCGAGAGTTTCGGCTCGGACCTTCCTATTCTGCGTCTGCACTCCGACAGAGGTGAAGAGTTTACTCCGACCTTCTGCGAGCCTTCTGTCGTGCGGAGGGCATCCGCCAGACGTTCACGCTTCCGGCCTCTCCGCAGCAAAAAAGGATTGCTGAGCGCCGCATTGGCATGGTCATGGACGTCGCTCATACGTCCATGATCCATGCGGCTGCTCCCCATTTTCTGTGGCCGTTCGCGATTCAATACGCTGCGCGTCAGCTCAACCTCCAGCCTCGGGTCTCCATCCCGGAGACCACACCTACTCTGCGGTGGACGGGGAAGGTTGGCGATGCGTTAGCGTTCCGTGTCTGGGGATCTCGAGCTTTTGTCCGCGACTTGTCTGCGGACAAGCTGTCCTCCCGTGCTGTTCCCTGCGTCTTCCTTGGCTTCCCCCCTGACGCGCCTGGTTGGCAGTTTTACCACCCCACCTCGCGCCGTGTTCTGTCCTCTCAGGACGTCATGTTTGACGAGTCGGTTCCTTACTACCGTCTCTTCCCCTACCGCACTGCCCACCTCCCCCCCCCGTCGCTCTTCCTCACGCCAGGTCCTCCCCCGGTAGAACCCCTCCCCCCTCAGGGCCCTGCCCCCTCAGGTGTGTCCCAGGTAGACGCAGTCGAGCCTGTCGAGGTAGCTGTTGACTCTAGTGCTGCTAGGGGTGCTGAGCCTGCGGGTGCCGGGTCTGGAGGTGCTGAGCCTGAGCGTGCGGAGCCTGGGGGTGCTGAGTTTGGGGGTGCTGAGTCTGGGGGTGCTGAGCCTGGGGTTGCTGAGTCTGGGGGTGCGGAGCCTGGGGATGCTGAGCCTGCGCGTGTGGAGTCTGGAGGTGCTGCGCCTGGAGGTCCTACGGGTGCTTTGTCCCTGCGGGAGCCACTCTCTCCACAGCACCTGCGCGAGTGGTTTGCTCGCCGCTGGAGCCGTGCTGCTGGAGCTGGTGGTGCTACGGGCGCTGGAGGTCCTGTTGCTGCTGGAGCTGCTGGGGGTTCTGGTGCAACTGGTCCCGGAGGTGCTCGTACTGGAGGTACTGGAGCTGCTGGGCCTAGTGGTGCTGCTGGGGCTGGAGCTGCTGGAGGTGCTGGAGCTGGCGGTACTACTGGACCCGATGCTACTGGAGGTGCTGGCCCTGGCGCTGGTGGTGGTGCTGGGGCTTCTGGTGTTCCTGGAGGTGCTGGAGCTGGAGGTGCTTGAGCTGGAGGTGCTGGAGCTGGAGGTGCTACTGGAGCCGGTGCTCCTGCGGGTGCTGGAGTTGGCGCTACTGGAGCTGCTGGAGGTGCTGGTGGAGCTGGTGGTGCTACTGGAGTTGGAGCTGGTCGTCGTGGTTCGCGTTAGCGTCCTCCTCCTGTCCTTGGCACACACCAGATGGCTCAGCGTCCTTTCACTGCTCCGCAGCGTGTCCCTCTGCCGTCTCCTCCTGAGTCCTCTCTTCCTGCACTTGCTGACCCGGGGTCTGACTCCCTTCGTGCTGCTAGTCCTATTGTCACGCGTCTCTTGGCCACTGTTGTCACTGACCCTTCCTTTGAGTCCACTGCTGCGTCTGCCTTAGTTGCTGAGCTTGTCGACTTTGCTGCTCACTCTCGTCTAGACTTCGCCGCTAGTCTTATTGCTGAGTCTGCGTCTGTCTGTCCTCCGTCCGTCGGGGGTGAGTGTGCTCTTAGCACGGACGTCCTTGAGGACAGACAGGAGGAGTTCCAGTGTTTTGATGTTGCTTTACCTCATCTCGTGTCCATGCTGCTTGCCCCTGAGGGAGACCCGGATGCACCAGACATCCCGACCCCGCGCTCTTACGCAGAGGCGATAGAACCGTCTACTGAGCGCGCGCACTTTAGTTAGTACAAGAGTGCTAAGACTCTGTACGACGCTGTTGTTGCACGCTACTCTTCCCCTGCCACTGCTGCACTTAGTCGCCTCATGCTACCGTACCTGTTCCCTGACCTCGCCGCTTTTGCCACAGTCACTGACCTCATTACGCACCTCCGCACTAGTGACACCCGCTACCGCGCTGCGCTTCCTGCTGAGTTCTGCGCCAAGAACCCCCCCCCCATATACATCACCCTCTACTACCTAGTCACCCGGCTCCCTGACACCCTTCGCTCGGTCAGGGACCACTTCCTCTCTCTTTGCCCTACCACACTCACCGTTGACCTCCTAGAGGAGCGTCTCCTTGCAGCAGAGACTAGTATTACCGCTGTAGGAGCCTCTCGTGGTGACCCCCGTACCCCTGTCTTTGAGGGGTGCTCCCCCGTTCCTCTTTTGCCCTCCGTTGCCTCTGCTGCTGCTGTCGACCTTGTTGGCACCGAGTCGGTCAGCGCTGCGTCTGCTCCTAGCGAGAGGCGCCGCCACGGCAAGGGCAAGCGGGGCAAGGGCGCTGGGGGAGGTGGCGGGGGAGGAGGTAGTGGCGGTGGTGGCGGAGGAGGGGGTGGGGGTGGGGGCGGAGGCAGAGGTGGGGGCGTCGGTGGCAGCAGTGGCGGTGGAGGCAGCGGTGGCGGTGGCGGTTGGAGTGGCGGCGGCGGAGGCGGCGGCGGTGGAGCTGGTCGAGGCGGAGCTGTACAGCGGGGACCCCAGCACCAGTCGCGCTCTCGTGAGACCCCGTCGCCATAGCAGCTTCGTGAGTGGTACGCAGGGCGCCAGGGGTCTGGGGGTGCTGGTCCCTGTACCTACGTCCTGCGCACCGGCGACCGCACTGGAGAGCAGTGTGGCGGCCTGCACGCCACCCAGCGCTGCTTCGGTTGCCTGACTGACGCCTGGCGTTCCCAGTTCCCTGACGCCACTGAGATCCCTCGCTGGGGTGATCTGCTCAAGTCGGGTGTAGCTATCTTTGATCTTGACTTTGATGCTATTCTTGCTGCCATGTATGCTGTGTCTATTAGTGCTGAGGGTGACTGCTACGTGTGTGTTCCGCCTGACCCGGGCATTGAGGCTGCTGCTCTAGGTGCTAGTGAGTCTGCTGCTCTAGGTGCTAGTGAGTCTGCTGCTCCAGGTGCTCGTGAGTCTGCTGCTCCAGGTACCCGTGCGTCTGCTCTCTCAGGTACTGCGTCGGCTCAGGTTTTGCACACCTTCACCCTCGACTCGGGTGCTTCCCGTTCCTTCTTTCGAGACCGCACCACCCTTACGCCACTCAGTCGGCCGGTTGCGGTCTCCTTGGCAGACCCCTCTGGGGGTCCTGTCCTTGCTCGCTACTCCACTGTCCTCCCCTGTCCGGCGGCCCCGTCAGGCTCCCTGTCCGGTCTCTACCTCCCCTCGTTCGCTACGAACTTGGTGAGTGGTGCAGACCTTCAGGATGCCGGGGTTGACCAGTTCACTCCTGCGAGTAAGCGAGTGACCCACTGCATGTGTGCTCAGACGGGCCACCACTTGGCCACGTTTACCCGCCGACTGGGATCCAGTCTGTACACACTGACCACTGAGTCTCCACCGGTTGCAGCATCTCGGTCAGGTCCTGAGTCTGCCCCCTGCTCGTGTCGCCTCCTGTCCCACCAGACCCTCCTCTGGCACCACCGCCTTGGTCACCCCTCCTTGCCTCGTCTCCGAGGCATGGCCTCCAGTGTCCTTGTCTCTGGTCTTCCCCGGTCCCTCCCTCCCCTTCCCCCGGGGCCTGCCCCTACCTGCGTTCCCTGCGTCGAGGGGCGGCAGCGCGCCGCTCCTCACTCCTCCGAGTTTCCCCCGACAGAGGCTCCGCTGCAGACTCTCCACATGGACGTGTGGGGCCCAGCCCGCGTCCGTGGACAGGGTCACGAGCGTTACTTCCTGCTGGTGGTTGACGACTACTCGCGTTACACCACAGTCTTCCCCTTGCGCAGCAAGGGTGAGGTCACTGAGGTGTTGATCGACTGGATCCGCGTTGCTCGTCTCCAGCCCAGAGAGCGTTTCGGCTCGGACTTTCCTGTTCTGCGTCTGCACTCCGACAGAGGTGGAGAGTTTTCCTCCGACCTTCTGCGAGCCTTCTGTCGTGCGGAGGGCATCCGCCAGACGTTCACGCTTCCGGCCTCTCCACAGCAAAATGGGATTGCTGAGCGCCGCATTGGCATGGTCATGGATGTCGCTCGTACGTCTATGATCCATGCGGCTGCTCCCCATTTTCTGTGGCCGTTCGCGGTTCAGTACGCGGCGCATCAGATCAACCTTCAGCCCCGGGTCTCCATTCTGGAGACCTCCCCTACTCTGCGGTGGACAGGGAAGGTTGGCGATGCGTCTGCGTTCCGTGTCTGGGGATCTCGAGCTTTTGTCCGTGACTTGTCTACGGACAAGCTGTCCTCCCGTGCTGTTCCTTGCGTCTTCCTCGGCTTCCCCCCTGACGCGCCTGGTTGGCAGTTTTACCACCCCACCTCGCGTCGTGTTCTGTCCTCCCAGGACGTCACGTTTGACGAGTTGGTTCCGTACTACCGTCTCTTCCCTTACCGCGCTGCCCCCCTCCCCCCCCCGGCGTTCTTCCTCACGCCCGTTCCCCCCCCCGGTAGACCCCCTCCCCCCTCAGGGTCCTGCCCCCTCAGGTGTGTCCCAGGTAGATGCAGTCGAGCCTGTCGAGGTAGCTGTTGACTCTGGTACTTCTGGGGGTGCGGAGCCTGAGTGTGCGGAGCCTGGGGGTGCTGGGTCTGGGGGTGCTGAGCCTGAGCGTGCGGAGCCTGGGGGTGCAGGGTCTGGGGGTGCTGAGCCTGAGCGTGCGGAGCCTTTGGGTGCTGGGTCTGGGGTTGCTAAGCCTGGGGCTGCTGAGAGTGGGGGTGTAGAGTCTGCCGGTGCTGTACCTGGAGATCCTTTGGGTGCTTTGTCTCGGCGGGAGCTACCCTCTCCACAGGAGCTGCGCGAGTGGTTTGCTCGGCGCTGGAGTCGTGCTGCTGGAGCTGGTGGTGCTACTGGTGCTGGAGCTACTGGTGGAGCTGGAGCTGGCCGTGCTGCTGGAGTAGGTACTACTGGAGGTACTGGAGCCGGAGTTGCTGGGTCTTCCGGTGGTCCTACTGGAGCTGGAGGTGCTGCTGGAGCCGGTGCTCCTGTGGGTGCTGGAGTTGGCGCTGCTGGAGCTGCTGGGGGTGCTCCTGGTGCTGGTGGTGCTGGTGGAGTTGGAGCTGACGCTGGGGGTGCTGGTGCTGTCCCTGCTGGTTCTGGAGGCGCTGCGCGGCCGCGGCCGTTCTTCGTTCCGCTCCTTGAGCAGGTTCTTGGTCTTCCGCCTTCTCCTGGTCCTGCTCCTTAGAGTGTCCACCGCCTGTCCAGTCCGAGTCACAGTTACAGCTGGCCTCCCCTCTTCCTGCTCCTTCTCCCTACGCTGGTCCCACTGGAGGTCTTGCTGAGCGTCGTGAGCCTGAGTCGCGTCCAGCGTCGCCTGTTCGTACTGCTCGCACTAGTCGTCGTGTTCCTCGTCAGCGTCCTCCTGCGGTCACGGGCACGCATCAGATGGCACTGCGTCCTTCCACTGTGTCACAGCGTGTCTCTTTGCCGTCTCCTCCAGCATCCTCTCTTCCTGATCTTGCTGACCCGGAGTCTGACTCCCTTCGTGCTGCCAGTCCTACTGTCACGCGTTTCCTAGCCACTGTTGTCACTGACCCTTCCTTTGAGTCCACTGCTGCGTCTGCCTTAGTTGCCGAGCTTGTCGACTTCGCTGCTCACTGTCGTCTAGACTACGCCGCTAGTCTTGTTGCTGAGTCTGCGTCTGTCTGTCCTCCGTCCGTCGGGGGTGAGTGTGCTCTTGGCACGGACGTCCTTGAGGACAGACAGGAGGAGTTCCAGTGTTTTGCTGCTGCTTTACCTCATCTCGTGTCCATGCTGCTTGCCCCTGAGGGAGACCCGGATGCACCAGACATCCCGACCCCGCGCTCTTACGCAGAGGCGATAGAGGGTCCCTAGTCCTCTCAGTGGCAGGCAGCCATGGATGCAGAGATGGCTTCCTGGAAGTCCACAGGCACCTATGTCGACAAAGTTCCCCCACCTGGGGCGAACATCGTCAGTGGCATGTGGATTTTCAGGGTGAAGCGGCCGCCGGGTTCTCCGCCTGTCTTCAAGGCGCGTTACGTGGCTCGAGGCTTCAGTCAGCGGCAGGGTGTTGACTACTTTCAGACCTTCTCCCCGACCCCGAAGATGACCACTCTTCGGGTTCTGCTGCACGTCGCTGCTCAGCGTGACTACGAGCTTCACTCCCTTGACTTCAGCACTGCTTTCCTACAGGGCAGCCTGCACGAGGAGATCTGGCTGCGCCGCCCACCTGGCTTCACTGGGTCGTTTCCTCCTGGTACCCAGTGGAGCCTCCGGCGGCCAGTCTACGGTCTCCGCCAGGCGCCCCGTGAGTGGCACGACACACTGAGGACTACGCTTGCGGCTCTTGGGTTTGCTCCTTCCACTGCTGACCCGTCGCTGTTTCTTCGCACCGACACTTTGCTGCCGCCGTTCTACATCCTCGTGTACGTCGACGACTTGGTCTTTGCTACGGCTGATACTGCTGGACTCGCCCACGTGAAGTCCGAGCTGCAGAAGAGACACACGTGCACAGACCTGGGTGAACTGCGCAGCTATCTTGGCTTGCAGATCACTCGGGACAGAGCACGGCGCACCATTACTCTGACTCAGTCACACATGGTGTAGCAGGTCCTTCAGCGCTTCGACTTCACGTACTCCTCGCCTCAGGCCACTCCTCTGTCTACTCGCCACTCGCTCTCAGCTCTGCCTTCGGATGAGTCCGTAGAGCCGA